TTTTTTTTTTTTTTTTTTTGAGCTCGTTAGTCACACTACCTGGATTTTTATTATATTCCCCCACCAACTGGAACTTGCGAACATCATTTAAATTTCTCTGGGTCTTAGTTACACCATCTGTAAAATGGGATTAATAGTAGCTCTCCTACTTACCTTCAAGGGTTGTTCTAAAATAATGTAGGTCAAGATACCATAAGAGCCATAAATTGATATACAAACATGAGCCACTATGACTCTGTTCCCCCACCCTGCCCCACAATATTGTATCACTTCATAGCCTTACCCACCTTTGGAATCTACTTTGGAACCAAGAAGAAAAACGGGGCTTGAGAGAAACCAACATCCAAAGAAAGACGATACAGTCTCTGTGTGCCAATGTATACAGTGTTCTTACGATACAGTCCCCAGGCCTCCACTCACCACCTTCTTCCTTTCTCACCAGCTTTACATCCAAAGCCAACAAGTTTGTCTCCCTTCCTTCAGTGGACCAGGAAGGGGCAACTGTTCGAAACGGGTGGGCTGATAACAGAGTGCCGTCACTTTTCCTGACGCCCTTAGCAAACTGCAGCACCAGACAGGTAGACCCAGCAACCACTGGGGTCTGGGACTATCAAGGGCAGAGGTAAGCCACCTCTATACCTCTGGAGGCCCTGTGGGTAGCAGGTCACTACGTGGCTACGGGGGAAAGACCGTCACAGTGTTGATCCTTTGTCATTGAGGGAGGGTTGAAGTACAGTTTTCTGTTGACACAGGCAGAGAAGGATGTGTAATGAAGTCTAGGTAGATTTCCAACCAAAATGGTTAAAAGAAAGACTGTTCACAGACAAGCTAACTTGCAGTTGGACATGGAAAATATTCTTGGCTAAATGACTGATGCTATTAGATAAATGAGGCTTTATACCATATTGCTTTCCTTTCCTTTCTTTCCTTTTTTTTTTTTTTTTTTTTTTTTAACATTTATTCACCTTTGAGAGACAGAGACACAGCACGAGTGTGGGGAAGGGCAGAGAGAGAGGGAGACACAGAATCTGAAGCAGGCTCCCGGCTCTGAGCTGTCAGCACAGGGCCAGATGAGGGGCTCAAACCAACAAACCATGAGGCCGCTTGACTGAGCCACCCAGGCGCCCCTATACCATACTGCTTTCTAAACACAGTGGGGAAAGCTTCAGATGATGGTGTTTAGTATCTCGTACATTGTTTATTTCAAATATGGCTTGGACAGGCCGAGGATGGAGATTTTAGCAAACGTATAAAACAAACAATCTCTGTATAGTTGACTCCCTCCACCTGTGGAAGGTATCATTTGTGAAGAAGCCACTCTGTGGCTTAGGAAAAATAGGACATTTTAATCATAGCTTGCCCCTACCAGGTACTTCTGAGCTTGAAAACAAATTCAAATTTTCAGTAACTTAAGCAAGCCCTAATTAGAAATGCAAATCTGTCATGTATATTCGGAAGGGTCAAATACTACATCTAAGACAAAGAGATAGGCTCTGGGGATTACGCAATGTTTTGAATGACTGGTAACAGCACTTCTCTCCATTAGTGCGGATAATTAAGAGACAGATCTCTAATGTAACTAACTACTAGTCCCCACAAGGAACTAAACCAATAAACCATGTGCCAAAAACCTCACAGGGCAACACAGATGAACTCGGAGACTTCAGAGCCAGAAACACCTCGGAAGATGATTTCACCCAGAGGTCTTAACCCTGGCTGCAAATGAGAAAGATCTGGGGAGCTTTGGGCAATACTATCACCAAGACCCCTCACTCCAGAAATTGTTTTAATTTGGCAAGCAACCTGGCGCTAATGCTCGTAAGGGCTCCCCAGGTGTTTCCAATACGTAGCCAAGGTCCAGACTCATGGATTTAGCCTACTGGTTCCCAAACCTGCACTCTCCCAGATCAGCTCTTTGGAAAGAGATTTCCAGGCTCCGCACCCCCCCCCCCCCCCCCCCCCCCCCCCCCTGCGAACTATTGAAGCAGAATCTCTGGACACAAGGGGCCTGAAATCTCTACTTAAAAAAAACAAAAGACAACCCCCCTCCCCAAACACTGCCAAGTATTAACGCTGCACATTCTGGGGGTGAGGACACTGTGCCAGGACACTGGCTCTTCAAAACAGAAGACAGAAACAACAGAACAAAACAGCAAACCTTGACTGGTTACGCCTGCCAATCTCCACGGTGTAACTATTCCCTCCTTGGCTGAGTTCAAGCTACCCATGTGCCCCGACTGAAGGCAGAGTTGGAAAAACATGCACACAACTGACTCCTGGAAGGCAGGGCTAGCAGGCTTTCGGGAGTCAAACTGCTGGCACTTAAACCCTCACGCCCTGATTTACTAGCAGGTGATGCTGGACTTGCTCTTAACCTCCCTGTGCCTCACTTTCCTCACCTGTGAAGCAGGGTGATCCCATTCCCCTCCCATAGGGTTGTTTGGAAAAGCACACGATTACTGTAATTGACCATATGTAAACATGCACAGACAGTACGCCTGTGTATTCTGTGCTATTATTTTCCATAACATTGTTTATTTACTAAAACACAATATTCTTGCTATGATATTATGTGCTATAAAAATAGATGTTAATCAACTTGATTTTAAAGGGTATCCTTGTCCTGAGCCATAACAACTGGTGAAATCATGGGTTTGATGTGCTAACCACATTTTTTTCTAATACTCCTTAAATAATTACTCAATTATCCCAATAAAGATGTCGGTCTATGCACGAACTAAAATCATCTTGCAGATGGCATAGTGTTTAAGGGGACTGGTTTAAATCTCAGCTCTGCCACTTACCAGCAGTGGGACCCTGAGCAAATGACCATCTCTGCGCCTCAGCTTCCTCATCTTTAAACATTTGAAGTGCTTACCTTAGAACAGTGCTTAGCACACAGGGAATGCTTTATGAGGCTTGGCTGCAATTGCAATTATTATTATATTATGTATCAGCAGTGGCAAATGTACCACAGTTTGGAACACGTTGCATCATTTTCTTCTGTCTCCCTAGAGGGTGCAAATTCTGCTAATTCACTTTTGTTCCCTTTCGTGTAGATGTAGAGCCTTTTTTTCCCCCCCTTAGCTTTACAATAAATCTAAACCTGGTCTGTAGGAATTAGGTGGAAACCACATGAAATCACTGATGTTTGACTTTTTGGACCCCCTCCCCAAAATAATTTGACCTCCCCAATAACTTCCGGTGATAGCGATGATTGCCGGGTCAAGTTTCTCTGGGTATTTGGAGCTTGCCTGCTGGGCACCTGTTTAAACCTCGCCGGGGAGATCGCCCCTTGACTTGGGGGCCTATAGACACCAGATCTTCAGGCTGGGTGCCTAGAATTTCAATTTCTATTAGGGCTGCAGACCGTGCAGGTCAGGACTGCTGTCAGCAAATTCATCCTCTCTCCCTGCTCCCCTGTGCAATACAGTGCGAGCACCCCCTTATCTGCCTGCCCAGGGGCTCTGCTCCTGCTGCTCAAATGTCTAGGGAGTGCCAGGTATAGTGCTGAGAGTTCCATATATGTGTGTCATTTAATCTGCACAGCAAACCTGTGACTTGGGTATTATTACCTCTCTTTTAAGGGTGGAGAAATAGGCCCAGAGAATTTGAGTCGTTCGCTCCCTGTGAACTGAAAGTTTATACTTTGGGGCTTGGAAAAATAAATTACTTAACGCCTCTCCTGGCTGCGGTTGTGTGTGAGCTTTTTCTCTTCTCCATTATAAAGACTCTCTACGTGAAGGAGTGTGAGGTCCCTCGATGAGAAGTATTATATAAATTCAAAGCATAATTATTGATTGTACATTCTCTCATTAAACAAACAAAATGTATGCTAATGCTAGATTCACTCCAATTTTCCATTTTGCCATCCTTTGCGAAATAAGCCAATAAACGATTACACACTTAGCTTCCTGGGGAAATGAATTTAAATGTTAATATAAATCCTTTTAGAAAAAAACAAATTTTAACAAATAAGTATTTGAACAAGGAGGGCACTTAACCACGTTCAGAATGAGAAACGTTCAGTACAAGACCCTTGGTGGCTGTTGAGATAAGCTCTCTAAATTTAATATTTTATAATAGACTCACACCTCTTTTGTTAGAAATGGAGAAACAGAATCATTTTCTTTTCCCCTTTATTGGAATATATTTAAATCTCTCCAATTTTATTTTGCTAATAGGCAGGGCAAAGTCTGTCGATAAATGTATCCTGACTTATCACAGGTAATCCCACACTCCAGCGTTCATGTGTAGTACTTAACCTCAATTTAAATGTAAATTTTGGGCAACCACAAGTGCTTTATCTGTGAACTTTGAGAGCTCTCTTCATTAATGAGGTCTGCACTAATTATAAGCAGTTCTGTAAGATTTCCTTAAAACAATTGCAGAATTGACCCCAAAATGAACAAATTCAGAATTTATTTGTTTAAAAAAAAATACTGGTACCCTTGTGCAAATTTCTAGCTCACGGAGACTCCCAAGGTGTGCATACAGGAGGGGAGGGGAGTAGGCCGATAGAGAATGACCTGTACCAGAGAAACCCAGGAAAATGAAACGAAAGGCCACTGGGTTTACTCTCAAACAGGATCTGTCTTCTGGATGAAAGAAACGATACCCTCTTTTCATCTAAAAAAAAAGTTTTACCATGAAATACTCTTGGCTTCTCTCTTTCTGGTGATTCAAGTCAGAGATATACAATTTAGTAGCAACTAATGAAAACAGCATCATTCAATTTCTCACGAAAGCAAACACATACACATGCGTGCACACACACACACACACAAAAGCAATTTTCGAATACTCACAGGTACATCCACATATTTGGAAGCTGCCTTCACCTAAGGAGGAAAGAAGAGGGCAGAAGTGAGGTTGGTGTTTATGCTTCATTGTCCACAGCTCAGTGCTGTGTCACCATCAGTTAATACAATACACTGGCACACGGAGCTGACCAGGAAACACAGAAAGGTACTAAAAAATAAAATGTGATGTCTATTCTCTTTCCCAAGCTGTAGCTACCGCTTTGGAGAGAAAGAGAGAAAAGAGAGAGGGAGAGAGAAAAGAGGGAAGAAAGGCAGGCAAAAGGGAGAGGAAAGGAAGGGAGACAGGAAGAAAGGGAAAAAGAAAGAAAAAAGAAAAAGGGAAGAAAAGAACAAGGAAAGAAAGAAAAGAAATGAAAAGAGATGAAAGGAAAAGAAAAGAAAAAAGAAAAGGCAAGCAAATATTTACTGATTAGGATCCTGTGGCTGTTGTGGGAATTCTGCATGCTCCTCTGTCCCTTTAAAAAGTAGAAAAGTAACTAGCTAAACTGAAACTGATTAGTGGAGGGCTGGCTAGTCTAGAAAAGCAACTAAGGCCGCTGTTACTTCCTGTATTTTGGGTCTTTTTGTCCTGTGGCCACGGGTTTGTCCTAATGGAACCCTTGAGTTTCAGTTAAGAGTCTTAAAGAGGACGCGGTGTGGTGGGCGGGCATCCTTAACCCAGAGGGTGACAGGTGTCTGTGGGTGGGGTTGAGAGAGTACCAGAACCTCTCAAAGCCTGTCCCAAGGCTGTCGTTCTGTCTCCTGGTTTTAAATACTAAAAACCCCAGACAGGAAGAGCAGGAAGTGGTTATGGAATTTATTTTCAGTTTTTGGGAGAGAGTGCGGTATATATCTGAGAGCATGGAATCTGGAGTCGGGTGTGGGTTCAAATCCCAGCTCTACGACTTACGAGCTGTGTGACCTTCAGCAAATTACTTCGTCTCTCTGAGCCTTAGGTACCACATCGGCCAAAGGCAGAGATGCTAATAGATACTTACTTTAGCGGGTGATCTAAAGGTCAATGTACACAAGGTTCTGGGACGTAGTAGGCATGGAACGAATGGTAGGGAAGGTGATCAATTCATAAGCACATCTTGGGGGGGGG